AGTCAAAGGATTTCTTTAACCATTGATTATTGGACATCAATTCAAAACATCAATTATACGGTAGTCTCAACACACTATTTTTGTTATAGGAGTTAGAAATTGCATAAGAGGATATTGGGTTTTTCCATGGCTCCAAATCATAAAGCGGAGACAATTGGGAAGCTTAGTGAGAAGTGTTTACTTGATTGGGGAATAGAGTTTGTGGGTACCATTACTATAGACATTGCAAACACAAATGTTGCGGCGATCTTTTATGTGAAAAGCAAGTTGAAGAATTGGAAACCTGATGATACTATGATTTTATGTGGCTTTTATCTGCATGTACATTGTTCAGCACACATACTCAATTTGATTGTTAAAAAAGGGTTAAAAGAGTTTAATCTATCTGTAGATAGTATTTGCAATGCGGTAAAATATTTTCGATCATCTCCTTCGTGGTTGACAAAATTTAAATGTTGTATTGAAAGGGAAAAGATTGCATGCACAAAACTTGCTATTTTAGATGTTTCTACTCGATGGAATTCAACATTCTTAATGTTGGATAGTGCATTGAATTTTGAAAAAGCTTTTGAAAGAATGGAGGAAGAGAATGAATTTTATTGTAAATATTTTGACGAGAATGAAGGTGGAAAAGAAAAAGAAAGGCTACCTACAAGTTATTATTGGAAGAAAGTTAGAAAATTTGTCAAGTTTTTAAGAACCTTTTATGATGTCACATTGAAGTTTAATGCTTAATTGAGTGTTACTTCCAATATTTACTTCCATGAAATTTGTAAAATCGAGCGAATTTTGAAGAAAAGGGGGTGAAAAGCAAGATTATTTGCTAAGTAGTATAGCAAATAGCATAAATATTAAGTTTGACAAGTATTGGTGTAAAGTTGATAAAATAAACAAGATTTTGATTGTAGCAGTCGTGCTTGATCCCAGGCATAAGTTGGAGCTTGTTGTACATTGCATTGGTATCTTGTATGACAGTGTTAAAGTTGAAGCCACAAAGAATGAGGTCATGAAATTTTTGTATGCTTTGTATAACTAACGAAAGGGATGGCATCGTTCAAACAATGGACCTAGTGGAAGCAGAAGTGGTGGCGATGAATCTAATGATGGAGTCACTTTGTTGGAAAATGAATGATGATGATGATTGGGATGATTGCAATTTTTTTTTTGGGTACAAGAAATTGAAAACTACCAAAATGGATTTTTCTAGAAAATATGAGGTACAACGATATCTAATGGAATCCACTGAAGATGCTAGTAATGAAAATTTGAGAATTTGAATTGTTGGAAGATCAATAAATCAAGATTTGGAATTTTATCTAAGGTTGCAAGGGATGTTCTTGCCATTCCTGTATCTACAGTTGCTTTTGAGTCAACATTTAGTATTGGAGTGCGCATTCTTGATCCATTTAGGAGTTCTTTAACTCCTAAAACAATTGAGGTCTAGATTTGTACACAAAATTGGCTAAGGAAAGAATTTAGACTTTTGAGAGTTTTCCAAGATAGAGTTTGCATTGAAAAGACGAAGTTCTATGAGGGTATTAAGACAGGTAATAAAATATATGTTATATTTTTCTTATTAAATCTTATTAGTTGAACAAATTTGAATTTATTTATGTTTGTTAATAACTTAATTGTGCTTTTTCAATTTTTTCTTGCAGCGTCTCTTAATAATGAGTATGACTTATAATGAGTATGGTAAGTTAAGCAATTGATGGATAAATCAAACAGTTGGTAAGTATTAGCAATACTTGAAAATATTTTTTATTTATAACTTTTAATTTATCATTCATTTTTCATGTAGACTTGAAGGTTTGAAGCAAATGAACCATTGAATGGATCGTTGAAGTTTTATTATTAGTATTTACTCTCTGGTATTTGTATGTATTGGTAAATTAATCTTGTTGGACAACTTGTTATTTGCATTTATTAAATTGGACTACGTTAATTTGTAAAACTACGATCGAATGTGCCATAGTTATATTTATGTAGTGTTGTTATAAATGTTAAAAAGTTTAATTATAGTACGAAATCGAACGGAACCAAACTCGAATAGTTTCATAATTATTTTTGGACCGAGGAAAATTTTTGGTTTGATTCGATTATCTTTAAAACGAACCGAATCGTCCCGCGTCCAGGCCTAATTCAAGTGACTAATTAGTCATTTTCATTTAAAGGGTAAAATGATAATGCTGAATTTTAATTAAACTATGAAAGAGAAGGGAGATAAAAAGGAAATGGAAAATAAATAAAGAAGCTACGTATCCAAACCCCTATGTCGACCCTTGCCGTGCTCCCTTCCTATAGCCACCACTAATCAACTCCAACCACTCTTTCGTGGGTGGAACAGGGTGAGGATGAGATTGACCGTGATTGATTGTTGTGTGGGCTGAGATTGGGGAGCGTCTTGTGCTTTTCTTTTTTTCTTTTTCTTATAGTACCTTTTTAAAAAATTTATTCCTCATTAAATTATAATTTTTTTCTCTCTTTTTTTATCAATCATACATTTGCTAATAAAATAATACTATACGTAAATTAAAAAAAAAAATTCTTCTTTTTTAACAATTTATTCTCCAAAAAATGACTATTTCACTTATTATAATGTGAAATAATGGAGGCCAAATGGGCACTAGGGAAAAACATAAATTGAGATGGCAGATTCAAAGAAAGAAAGAATGAACTCTATTTCAATTATGCAACATTGGAACTCCGTCCTCTGTCCCATCATTCCTCTCACAGCAACTTCCAAGAAACAAGGGGCTTGCTCTGGTGTACACATAGTATAATCATTCTAATAATCGGCTCCACTCTTAAAGTTGATTACATTGCAATAAAATCAACTAAGCCTTATTTGATACGACCACGGCAGTGTTGACCTTTTTAACCTAAAAGAAGCCATTCTCCGTTTTAACGGGGTAAGTAATGAAACATGGAAGTTTTCAATACCCACATTTGAGTTGTTTTACTTTTCTCAGGAGGGAATTCTACCATTGTACCCCTATGTTGTTGGGCGAGAGTTCAACTAGATTCACCGTTTCTTTAACGTTTCAGGTCTAGTTTTGGAAATATAAAGTGGATTAAAGGGTGCTAGTCACATCACTTTTTGCCATCAACATGAAACTTGACATATGTGTGATGCTTCCACGGGTGTGCATGTGTTTTTTTTAAAAAAAGAAAAAAAGAAAAAAAAAATGAAGCTGGTATTTTAATCGAAATTTGACTATGCATCCTACAAGCCATGTTTGTAAGCATTTTCTCTCGAAAGGACATCATGAACTCAGCTAACTTCTTAAAGTTTTTCCAAGAAGGCTCTGGATGTATTGGACAATGCTTTTGGAGAAAACAATGAATCAAAAACTAGAAAAATTCAAATTCAAACCTGAAAGCACGGATTCCACTGCTGAAATATGATATACCTTAAAATCAATAAATCATATTCAAAAACTTCATAAAATCTTTCCACATGTTCTTTTATTCATTGGAAAGTCCGACTTCCATGATGTCACTTACAAACAATTGTATACGCTTTTATCATCCTTTGAAATGGTCATCCTTTCACAAAACCAAGTGGCCATCGTCCCTTTTTCTTATGTCAATATTTTCATTTCATTAATAGATACAAAACAGGTGTAATATAATATAGGGTGGTTTTCTTGTAAATTAGCCAAGCAGGATGGGGTAGGGAGGTTCTTTGGTTAAGCCATACTACTCTTTTCCAAGAAAACAAGAAAATGTCAAACCTAGGCAGCATTAGCGACAGTGGAAATATGAAGAATGCACCAATTTTCAATGAATTCAAGAAACAGGCTTCTTTTTTTTTCAAGGAGAAGATCAGGACTGCCCGTTTGGCCTTGACCGATGTTACACCAGCACAATTGTAAGTTTTGATCACTCCTTTTTGTCCGAAGTTTTTATGAAGATCTGAATGGATTGGATAGTACTATATAGGATTAACGAAGAAACAAAATATATATTATCATGTCCAATGATATAAAGATAAACTGATGCGATGTGTGCGATGAATTGCACTGTTTTTTATTGTTAAAGACTGGCAGAAGAAGCTACAAATGGAAATCCAAAAGGGCCAGATGCTCGTACTCTTAAGATCATATCCAGGGCTGCTTTTGAAGTCGATGATTATTGGAGAATCGTTGAGACACTGCATAAAAGGTTTATTTGAATCACCCTTTTTCTCAGGGTTCAGTTGGTACACAGTACTCCATAGGATTGTACAGTACAATTTGATCTTGTTGTACTCAGGATCGGTTTTTATGTGTTTTCCAGATTGGCAAGATTTGATAAAAGAAACTGGAGGGCATCATATAATGCCGTGATTTTGCTAGAACACTTGTTGACTCATGGGCCTGAGAGTGTTGCAGAGGAGTTTCGAACTGATAGAGATGTAATTAGGGAAATGGAAAGCTTTCAACATATAGATGAAAAAGGGTAATAGTTGTTCCTATATATTTATGAAAATGAAAATGAGAGTTGGCTTTCACCCGATTAGCCCAAAAGCTAATATTTTTTGGTTTAACTATTTCAGATTTAATTGGGGTCTGAATGTGAGGAGGAAAACTGAAAGGGTATTGAAATTGCTAGAGAAAGGGCCTCTTTGGAAGGAAGAAAGGAATAGAGCCAGAAAGATTTCGAGAGGGATTGAAGGGTTTGGTAGTTTCAGCTATAAGACTCCACCAGGCCAAGAATTTTTGCAGGAATCATCAAACAAAGCGTTTGATAAATGCAATTCGCAGTTCAATGAACATGGAAATCGGGATGAATTATTTTCTGTCTCGAATGAAGATAACATGGTCGAAATAAAACACGAGAAGCCCTTGTACCCAACTAACCCAGCAATGAATGACAATCCTCGAATAAATTTGAAAGAAAATATGGTCCCCAACCAGGGAGTTGTCATGGGGGAGTCAAACGATCAAAACTGGACGTGTGTGGCAGAGTCGAAGCCCCTACTGGACGAGCAGAAACTTGAGCCTCAGATTAACATGCCCATGGAAGATCATCCCTTCAATGATGCTGAGATTCAGACAACCCTGATATGCCACAACAAGTATGTTGAAAATTAGGCCGAATGGTTTAGTTTAATTACGAAGGATCCCATCTCAGGATATGCTCATATTTTCAAGTTGTCTTGCTGTTTAAGTAGGCTCCCATCTCAGGACTTTGAGATTTAAGTAGTCCTCTCCTCGGACTATAAACTCGAGAATTCAAGAACTCAGAATCTCGATAACATATCGCTTTATATTTAGAATACTATGTTTTGTTTTCAAGTCCCAATCTTTATTGTTTTCAGGGCAGAAACACCCCCTACAATTGATGCAATTGAGTTCCTTGAAAATGGCGAACATGAGTTGAGCAGATCCACCAGAACATAGAGGACGACCTCCTATTAAAAGAAAAGAAATCTTATTCCAAATAGAAAACAATCTCAATCATAGTTCAGGAAAAAAATGAAATTTACAAGCAATGGAACCGGAAGACTCCCTATAATTGTTTTACACGACAATTCAACAGCTTCTATTAGTAACACAATGCCTAACAGTAATGATATCGAAAGATACCAACAACTATGTTCTAGCATAATCTAGATGTAAATGTATACAACTTGAAATATTTTAAAGGATAAAATTTCACATCGAATAAAGATGAAAATATAGATCAACTTATAGAGGATTGGACTACTTCTCTTAACACGTTAACTTTTAAAGATAAAGTCCCAAATCTCAACATGGTATCAAATCCCATTAAATACCAACGAGCGATTCGATCGAATTAACACTCTAAAAAAGAGCATAAGAATTTCGATATTATTATGCTTAAAACGGGGCACCATCTTGCAAGGTGGTGGGACATCTTAAGTGATAAAATCACACATTGAATAAAGATGAAAGCATAGACCATCTTATAAAGGATTGTGCTACTCCTCTTAACAAGGTTAACCATTTAAGATGGAACTCAACGTCTTAACAAAATACACGACAATCTTGAATGGCAATTTGCAATGCATGGTTAGGAGTGAGATTTAAGTGACATAGTTTCAAGTTTGTCATTGGAGAAGTCTCGTGGCCATTTTCCAACCAACCACGCAATGCCTCTCCCTCGTAGGTGAATCCATCAGCTGCCACTTGAGGGTCATGCATTATTTTCTGAAAGAGACGGAGTGTTTAAATTCATCTTAATAGAATTTAATGAAACTATATTTTCATTACTATTAAGCACGCAAATATTGCGATACCATATGCTAACAATTTGCATTAAATCACTCCTTACTTTAAGTATTGGGCATAAGAAAAAAGATGGTACTGGTTGCTCTTCTAGAACAGGAAGGCGCTCCAGCTCCCTAACGAGAGTTGGACTCAGTTCAGGTCTATCCCGACTGTTCAATTCACAACATTGCAATCCCAGGTCCACCAATCTCCTAGCAACATATATTTACCATTCACCAGCAGATAAATCTAATATGGATGCTACTTTCCCACTGGATACAGCCCTGCGCACTTCACTCGCTAAACCTGCTGGAGTTCTTCCTGTGAGTAGCTGGATTATGATTAATCCAAACGAGTAGTGTTATGGTTCCAGTTCTATGAAATTCGGGATCTTGATAGGCGAAAGCAATAATTAATTCAGCACAGTGACGGAAACTTGGGCAGAGGAGGGTTTTGTTTGTTATGAGCATACGAACCCCACAGTCACTTATTCTGCAACTGTTCTCTGAATCAAGGAGGGAGGAAATACAACTTAATAGCCTAAATAAAAGGAGGATTTTCCAAATTAGTCTAAGAAATAAAAACATTTGAAAACTAGTCTCCAAACAACTAATTTTCCAAAAATACCCCTAATAGAGAAATTGCAACCAAAGCCATTACAATGTTTAAAAATCTTCAAATAAGTCCTCAAGAAAATATAGATCATAAATTTTTAATAAATCTAGATCCAAATATTATACGAAATTTTATTGATCTAAAAATTTATACAGAAAACGAATTAATCTATCTAGAAGAAGATCTGAAAGACTTCTTTATAGAATATTTAGACCCAAAAATAAAAAATAAAAATGATTCCATAGATAACGAAGCAATCAAAATGGAAAAAGACATATATAAATACTTCTCTCTTCCAGATCCACGAAGGAACCACAACTCCACAAAAGGAATCAACTTAGCCCACTAAAATCTCCAGAAAACCCGAACTGCTCTCACAAGAATCACTCAGATTCTCACAAACTAACGCACAACAGTAAATCTCTATAGGATCTATAGTATTACAAAGGTTTTCACTAGCTTATATGTTGAAAACACTCAAAGAAATCGAACCCTAACCACAAAAATGAAGACGTTCATCACACAAAGAGAGAGAGAGAGAGAGAGCAAAGAGACTGCCTCAAAACCAAGAAAATCTCTCCCAAAAATCGAACAGATGAATGGTCACTGGAGCCTTTAAGTATTGGAAGGGTTTGGAAGCAGATCAAACAGCCAAAGTGACACCACGTGTCAAGATCCAGTTAAATTCACCCACTAATAGATGTGTTATTCCAAAAGCACGACTTTCCTTTTAATTTTGGAAGCACACTTATAATTGCAGCAGGTCACCAGTTCGAATTTAAACATTAATGGTCACACTTGCACATTAAATAAGAAAGAAAACCTCTGGTTTTACCTCTTTGTGGAACTCAGTTTGCCCTTGCATGGTACAAGGATGTAGATTCTTAATGGCAACTGTCCTGTCCAACATTTCCCCCTTGTACACAATACTACACCCTCCTTGTCCTTAAACTATATTTCCCTCATCTTATAAAATTTTTAAGGATTGAAATGATAAATATTTTGTAGAATTTATCAAGTCTCAATAAAGAACACCAAAAGCAAAGAAATTCTTTAAAGTGAACAAGTGAAAAAAAGGAATTTGATTAGGTAAAGAAACTAAATTTCTTCAATAATTGGATGACCAAATAGAATGCTTTTTTATATATTTAGGGATGAATGCTATTATGTATTTATAGTTTTCAATCATCCCTACGTAAAGTGGTTTCAACTCAATAAGAAAATGTGTAATGATTCACCAAGAAAATCACCAGAAAATTCGAAAAAAATCAACACTATGCGACTGCATAGACTATAACCCTGCAATTCCATAGCTATATCGTTGGCTGCCTCTTTAGTCCCTAAAAAGCACTCATGTGACTGCAGGCTTTGAAGGCCTATGCGATTGTATAAGCCATGCATGATTTTTTCATTTTTCTTTTAATTTTCAATTCATTCACACTTACAATACCAATAAAATCACACACACGTGTCAAATTTTCACAAGTTCGTCTAACTCGTTTAGTGCTAATATGATCTTGCACTTATCTTTTTCATTGAACTTTTAAAGAGAGAACTCTAACTCTCTAATGATGCGGCACTATCTCGAAGTTCACATGGGTGAAAGTTCTTCCACAATCTTTATTACTTTTAAAGATACCATTAAGAGTTTTATAAATCATCCCTCCAACTGCAACAACCAACATTATTTACCAAGGATAGAATTCAGTAATTTTAATAGTATTGAATCTATCCACTTATCAAATGATTTTTTATTACCCTTTGAACCTGAATAGACTCGTTTATTGTAATGACCAAAACTTAACATTTGAAATTTTAGTGAGTAGTTGATGACACATAAATAAGTTTAGTGATTATTGAATCAATTAACTCCATTTTATAGGATGGATAATTTTTATCAATTTTTTAACTATATAATTCTTATGAAGATTTACTAACATTTTGAATTTTAACTAGCTTTGGGGCAAAATAAATTATTCACTTGTAATGATAAAAAAATAAGTTCACTTCCGAGTTTTCCTCTCTTCCCAATTTTCCCCTTCCAGTTTTCCGTCCTTCCACCCATTCTTTTTCACCCCACTTCTTAATTCTGCTGCAAAGTTGTTAAATATGCAGTCTTTGATGATTAGTTGTTTGGCCTCACTTATCTCTGTCTTCTTCATTCAATTCACTCTGTTTGTGCTTGCTCTTTTCCTCCCCACCTCCTCCTTCTTCACTCTCCTTCCTCTCACAGGTGTAAATCTGCTTCTCTTTCGTTTTAACTTGGTTGTATTATCACTTATTTTTATGTATATTACGTGCTCTGGACTTAATTTCGTCTTTATCTTTTCTTTTCTCTCCGTTTGAACTGATTCCAGCTCTGTTGATTGTAATTCTGGTGGGTTTGGGGAGATGCTGCAAGAGGCTAGTGGGTGTGAAAGCTTGTGCCCCGGCTTTTGTTTTCCTTAGCATATTGTTTTTATGGGTTGTTTATTTTTCTGTGATTCGACGAGGTACCTTTCTCCAATGTTCAAATTGAAGAACACTTTTTATTTCCTAGTATCATGATTTGTTGATATTGTCAGGCAAAATCTGATTTAATTTTGGATACTGATTTGTGTTCTCAAATTCAAAATTCATTATCCAAGTTGATAAATTCGCATTGTCAGAGCTGATTGAAAATTTTTAACTAAGTGCATAGTGGAAAACTGAATTTCCAAGTTGTGTGATATTTCATACTCTGATAGCGATCAGAAAAGCAAATCGAGAAAAAGGAAAAAGAAATGAATTCTGTAGAAAGTATTGAACCAGACAATCTGTATAATATATACGTGCAGAAATATGGTGAGAATTCCCTCAGTTACTTGATGTAATTCAGCAACTCTAGGAAGATGAATTATACATTTTCTTTCAAGACCCACTGACTGTACATTTTATTCAGCATCCTGAATTTTCTATAAGTAATTTCAGATGTTTACCTTTTCTGCAGTCACTTCATATTTGATGGACATTGTCTTCAACATAGAGATTGTCATGCTGATAGTTGGGTTATATCGGTTAGTTTTTTGTGTGATTATACGAGGGATATATGCATATATGATGAATCGGGATGAACAGAACTTTAACTTCATGGACATTGTGTTCTATTCGTAATTCACGCTGTATACTAAAATACATATGATTGGTTGCAGTATTATGTTAAGCGATCCAGGCTTTGTAAGATGTGATTCTTCCTATCATGAAATGCCTGTCAGAAGTCCTCTCAATGAAGATGAAGCCCACATAGAGGTCACATAAGATGATAGAATTCTTTTATTAGACTAGCGCAATTTGTATATTGATCTAATCTTCTTTCATAGGAGTTGGAGCCTTCAACTCATCCCACACAGCAAGAATCTCATGCTGAAGAGGTATGATCTTTAGTTTAGATTATTTGTTCTCTTAAACTGAAGATCACGGAGTCACTTAGCATTGGCACTTGGTAATTTATTACTCAACCTAGGCCTCAGTGTCTTGATGTTCAGGCAACTTGGTGGTCTAACAAGAGTCATATCTGAACATTTTCGGTCAGTCTGAGGCCTTGGTAGCGTCTGATAATTGACAAGCACATGCTGCTTGATTATTTATTATGTGGTTTCCCTGCTAGTATCAATCTTAATGGGTTTCAATTGCTGGCTAAGTATAGTATGAGCTACTTCAGAATAAGTTAATGTTAAATACAGACCAGGTTCATAATCCTCCACAAGAAATATAAATTAGACAAATAGCATAGTAACACTCTTTGAAATTCATCAATTTTTGCTCCATCCTATATTCAAATAACGAGTGTTTTTCTACCATTTAGTTTTTAACAAAGCTTTGCAATAGTAGCTGCAGAAATGTCTCGATTGTACTCAAACTTTCTTTCATGATCTGTTTGCAGGGTTTGATAGTACGGAGGGGAAGATATTGCAAGTACTGTGATGCATATGTGAATGGTTTCGATCACCATTGTCCAGCTTTTGGAAACTGTATAGGTAATAATGACTCTCTTGGGTCATCTGATAAATCGTCTGGGTGATAAGTCAGCATACTATTAAGTTTTAATTGCAGAGATAATTATAGTGAGAAGTGATGTCCCCATGCAGGTGAAAAAAATCATTTCTTCTTTGTATTGCTCCTGATTGGATTTGTAATATCTGAAGCTTCATATGTTGCATGTGCATCTCAGTGTAAGTCTGTTGTTTGTTTCTGTTCTTGTTTGATATATCAAATTCCAAAAATTCCCTTTATGAATAGATGAATTTGATTCTTTTACTATTTGGAAGGTACTTAAAAACCGTGTTGTACAAGAATTAGGGAAATTTACGTAGGGAGAAAGAAGGAAATAATAATTTGAAATAAATATACTTTAACAGGTATGAGAAACTAGGAAGGAGAAGGTGGGTATCTTGGTTCAGATTTTGTTCTTGTCTGCTATTTTAACATCTCATAGATACAACTCACTATTCATTGTTGTGCTGCTAAATTGTACCACGTTTTAAGTAGTGATTGGCAAATGCTAAAGCAAGTTTCAGTCAGCATAAAAATGACACTGAACATAGGTTTTAACAGGCCCTTAGTGTTTGACCTCTCCACATGCAATTGAAGGTTTCACGTGGGAGATAATGATGGAGCTTGTCCAACATTAGAAAATTATAACCATGAACTTGGATTCACCAATTGCTGATTGGATGCTTTTACAATTCCTTGTAAAATAGAGATCCTAAATTCTAGAAATGAATAACCTTGCAATTCAAATTCCTTTGCCCAATTCCATGTAGAACTTCATGCATGAGGATATATAAGTTCTATTAATTAGACATACATGGGAAAAGAAAGATTGCTGTAATAGATTTTTCACACATTTAGTGTTAACCTTGATTGGCTGTAAGTACATAAAATTATGGATGTATAATGCTAAAAAAAAAATTGATTCAAAAGAGCATGTATCTGACGAAGACTGAGCTTTTATTTGGGAGGGAATAGGGCCCTGATTTAAAATTTATTTGGTTATGTTGCCTAAAAACATTGGCATAAGACCTGTTTGTATTTCTTAATATGTATGATTATTATGATTGAAGAAAGTTCAACTCCCAAGGTTCCCTTCTCTTTTTTATTTTGTTCTTTTCCTATTAATCTTTTTAGATTTTTTTCCTGAATTATAGTTGCTGCAAGATTTCAGACTATTGATGAAGTTAAAAGGGTGGTATGTACTTACTCTCTGGCTTAATCTTCCTGATGCACTTGGGATTGCATTATTTCACTATCTATTCTCGTTTAAGCATTACTATCTAGTTTTGTGGCTTTGCTTTGGCATGGTATAGCCTCGTAATTTCTTCTTTGTGTTGATTCTGTAGACTTCTGCTTCAAGAAGTTTGGCCATTAGTACAATGTTGTTCTCTCTGTTTCAAGTTCTTTGGCAGGTGCCCCTTTTTTCTTCGTCCTTAATGTATCAATGGATTTAGAGATTTTGGATAATGTGTTAGCAATAGATGTTGAAAAAGATAGCTTATGTTATCATCTGACGATAATTCTTGCTGACTTCGTAGGTGGTCTTTATAATGTGGCATGTGTATTGTGCTTGTTTTAACATCAAAACTGATGAGTGGGTAAGTTCTGTCTTTATACATTGAAGAAATCGGAAAAGGGATTTTACCCTGTTACTTCTGGAAGTTAAAAGTATTTCCCATATCTCTTTTGTGTTGAATCTAGTGTATAACGTGTTCTTTTTATTCTAATATTCTCTACTTTATTTTAATTATCTTGGGAATGGAATGTGGTTGTGATGCAGCACCAACTCGAGCAATTAATTGAATGTGATAACGAATCTACGGGGAAGAGGGAATTGAGGGAAGAACGGGGGTAGAAGAAGAATCAATAGAGGAATTAGTAGAAGACAGATAGAAAGAAGAGAGAAAGTTGTCACAAGCCACCAAAAAATTATTCATTCATCAACTGTCTATTACATGGCGAAAGAGATTTAAATAACCAAAAAAACCTAAAGAGAGAGGGCCAAGCCCACTACACAAGTCCATAAAAGTAACCCAACTAAAATAAACAAAATAACAGTCCAATTAAAATGAAATAAATAAACTGGATGTCACTAAAATAAATAAACTGGATGTCCTCATCAACTCTCTTGAGGTGGGAGAAAACTCGACCCTGTCAAGTGGATATATCAATATAGGTTGCAGTCAATCTCCCAACTATAAGTTGAGTGGTTGGGCAAGCTTCTTTCGACATCTGTAGAAATGTGTCAGTGGAGGTTTGAATCTGGTGTCCTTACCAACTCCCTCTGAGTGGATGGGAGGTGATCTCGGCTAAGGAAGATCCTGCTGACTCCGATAAAGTTCTAATTAATTTGGATCTAATTGCTTTAGTGTCTCTCTAGAGATCTATGTACAGTCAGAATCTGAACGATTAACCCAACGAACAAGGAAGCACTGAACCTCTCCATTATTAGTTAACACAGTTTCTTCATCTAAAATAGCATCAATTTTATCTTTGTGTGCTGTGAGAGGTGGTAGTGGGTTAGAAGGGGCCAAAGAGTCAGGATCAAGGTCCACAAAAGGAGGTAACAGAGGATTATCTGATGGAACGAAATGGCCTTTATAAGCAACTAAATCCTCAACATTAAAAGTAGAGTGGTAACCAAGGTGGGGTAGAATGTCAACAATATATGCATTTGGATAAACTTGCTTTAAAATTTTAAATGGACCAACACTACGGGCTTGCAATTTGGAGGCTATTCTATGTAGACGCCGCTCTGGCCTAATGCGGACCATAACGTAATCTCCAATGTTAAATTCAACATGTCTTTTATGCAAATCAGTTTGGAGTTTATATTTTGCATTACTGGCTTCGAGTTGTTTATTGATCTCAATATGCAACTCACGAAGATATTTTACAAATGCTTAGGCTGACACTGACACTGACACTCTAGCCTGTGGGGACATAGGAATGAGATCTAACGACTTCCTAGGTTTATATCAACGAACGACTTCAAATGGACTCATACCTAGTGAGCGATTCATGGAACTGTTATACGCAATTTGAGTTATAGGAAGGATTAAATCCCAATTTTGAAGATTTTCTCGGACCAGACATCGTAACAAATTACCAAGACTACGATTAACTACTTCAGTTTGACCGTCAGTCTGAGGGTGGTACGTCGTAGAAAATTTCAATTTAGTACCCATCTTTTGCCACAAAGTTCTCCAAAAATGGCTAGTGAAACGAACATCTCTATCAGACACAATGGTCTTAGGAAGCCCATATAATTTGACAATCTCATTAAAGAATAACATGGCAACCTTGGACGCATCTGAGGTCTTACTACAGGGGATAAAATGAGCCATTTTCGAGAAACGATCGACAACCACAAAAATAGAATCATGTTTCTTTGGAGTGCGTGGAAGTCCTAACACAAAATCCATACTAACATTTTACCAAGGACAATTGGAGACGAGAAGAGGATTGTAGAGGCCTGTGTTTTGCCTCTTCTGTTTGGCCAATTGACAAGTTTACATGTACTAACAATCTTAACCATATCTTTTTTCAAACTAGGCCAATGGAATTGGCGTTCAACCTCCTCTATAGTCTTATCACGCCCAAAGCAACCGGCTAAACCTCCCGCATGAATTTCCCATACTATGAAATCTTGCACTAGTTCAAGGGATGCACAATTTATTAGCTCTAAAAAAATAACCCTCCTCAAGTCGGAAGCCATCTGTGGTATCTGACTGTTCACCTTGCAAATCAAGAAAGATATCTTTAAAATCGGGACACACCTCGTAATCCTCCTTAAGCATTTCAAAATCGATGACCTTGACACTCATGATCGACAAAAGGGAGATACGACGGCTTAAAGCATCAGCTGTTTGGTTCTCCAAGCCCTTCTTGTGTTTTAAAACAAACGAATAGGCCTGCAAATATTCAATCCAACGACCATGCCTATAGCTCAATCTTTTTTGGGAGTTGAGGTAACGGAGGGCCTCGTGGTCCGAATAAAGGACAAACTTCCGGGGTAACAAATAGTGGCGCCAATAGCGCAAAGCCTGGACAACCGCATACAATTCCTTATCATGAGTTGAGTACCATTGTTTGGCTTTATTTAACTTTTCACTGAAGTAGGCAACAGAATGACGATCCTGACTCAAGACTCTGCCTATACCTACCTCGGAAGCATCACATTTGACCTCAAAGACTATGGAAAAATCAGGAAGATGCATGACAGGAACCTCTGTCATTCGCTTCTTGACCAACTTAAAGGCTTTAGCCATCTCGTGTGACCAATGAAACTCCCCTTTCTTCATGTACTCCGTAATAGGCGCCATAATGGTGCTGAACCCCTTGATAAAGCGACGGTAAAATGTAACTAAACCGTGAAAGCTCTTGACGTTATGACTAGTCTTAGGTTCAGGCCAGTCAAGAATCTCCTGAATCTTGGCAGGATCAGCAGATACGCCTGTTGAAGAGACAATGAAACCTAGGAAAAAGACTGTCGGTGAAAAAAGATCACTTCTTGATGTTAGCATACAGATTATTTGTACATAGGGTAGAACAAACTTGTATGAGATGGTCGCGGTGTTGCTCTTTAGTCTTACTATAGATGAGAATATCATCAAAATAGACAACAAGAAACTTACCCATGAAAGGTCGAAGAATTTGTGTCATTACTCCCATAAGGTACTCGGCGCGTTGCTTAGCCCAAAAGACATGATCAGCCATTCGTAAAAATGATCTTTTGTTTTAAAGACGATCTTCCACTCATCACCTGGGCGAATTCTAATTTGATGATATTCACTCTTTAGATCTATCTTAAAAAAGATGGTAGCACCAATTATCATATCTAGCATATCGTCAAGTCTAGGAATGGACTTCACCGTGATCTTATTGATAGCACGACTATCCACACACATTCTCCAAGAACCATTATTTTTAGGTGTCAATAGGGCAGAGGGACAACACACGGGTTTAAACTCTCACGAATGAATCCTTTATGAAGGAGGTCATCCACTTGCCTTTGAAGTTCAGCGTGTTTTGTAGGATTCATCCTATAATGAGACAAATTAGGAATGGATGCCTCTGGGACGAAATTTATGGCATGTTAAATGTCCCGCAGGGGAGGTAATTCGTCAGGTAGGTCCTCCGGGAATACATCCCGAAACTCTTGAAGAAATGATTGAACTTTAGCAGGGCTCTCTATTGTGAAGTTCAGTGGAACCTCCATAACGACAACATCGAACACCCATTTCGTTTCACACTTTTCTTTGTTTCATGTGAGCCAACAAGTTTTAGGGGCAGTGGGTGAAGGTGAATCTTCTTTTTATTAAACACGAAAGAGCAGGAATTGGATCAACCATAAATAGTTACATCTATGTCAAATAACCAAGGTCGTTCTAGAATGATGTGCCCGACATTCATGGAAATAACGTCATACCATATATGGTCCTTATACTCGAGGAACTGGATAGGGATTAGACAACGCTCCTTAACAGCTATAGAAGAGGTATCAACCCAGGAGACGCTATACGGTTGAGGATGAGGAACTGGCTTTAACCCAAGACGGGATATAGTGGCCATCGAAACCGCATTAATGAAGCTGCCACTATCCGCAATAACGTTATAGCCCTTATTATTGATCTTGATGTAAGTGTGGAAGATGGCATGACAACGCCAATCATCGGCATCCTTGGGTTGGGTGAGAGTACAATGGACGACACCGGCTCTACTAGTCTGAATATAACCTAAGAAGGTATCTTCACTATCCTCCAAGTCATCAAACTCTTCCAACTTAGGTTCATAAACCTGGTCCTCTAATGGTTCGTCAACTATACCTTCACGCTTTTCCATAACTAGGGCTCGGCTAGGACACTTAGAGTTAAAGCATTGGAAATGGGAGGATGCCTTTGAAACCTCAGAACTTTTACCTTTACTATCCGACGCAGGGGTAGCATTAGAAGGAAGAGGCCCTAGAATAGACTTAAGGGATGGAGTGGATGTAGAAGAGGTTGCCATACGGGTGTCACTACGAGTTCTATACGATATCCTAGTCACTAACTCGTAATCCCGAACGAAAGAGTAGGCGTGGTCAAGAGTGGTGACGCCTCTAAAGACAAGCTCACGTCTAAGATCATCCTTAAGGCCTTGCCTAAACTTACTCAAGGTCATGACCTCATCCTCAACGACCTGACGTCTCATTCGAAACTCATCAAACTGAGCAACGTATTCGATCACATGTCATTGGCTTGCGTAAGTGCATTCCATTGATCCGCAAGTGACCTCTGTAAGATTGAGGTAAATACTTTTCTTGAAGGCGACGCTTCATTTCATCCCAGCTCCCAACAGGGGGAGCGTGACGTCTCTCCAGGAGGTCCTCAATACTTTCCCAAATTGTACCCTTCGATCTTCCGAGACCCCATACTAGGCGAAGAAGCGATCCATATCTCTAACCCATTGATTGAATATACTAGGATCTAGACAACCATCAAATGTGGGGGCATCTAACTTAATGTTTCGAAAGAGACGCTCCTGTAACGAGGGGGAGACTATGTACCATGACGGTGATGTTCCTGCTCTCGTCCACGAGCCTGATTTTCATCCTTACGATCATGTCTGGCATGGTGTCGACCACCTTGACAATGAGGTCTATTAATGGAAGTTTCAGAGTTTTCAGCTTCAGTCGAATATAGGGCTGGATCAAGAGTGTTCAACCTAGCGGTTAGGGTTCTATTCTCCTCACGAGTAGCAGCTACCTCAGTTTGAACAGTCATTAATTGATTTTGTAATTGTGCTAACTGTCGGGTGAGAGCCCGAATTTGGACTGGATCCATAGCAATGGTGCTAGAACTAGAGGTAGTAATGCGACCACTACGTAAATGCATACAGAGTAATGCTTAGCCAATTGGAGTGCACTACTGAGATCAACAAACATCGAGTGCCAACAGGAAAAATAGCAATTTGAGTTTTTATTTTATTTTTATTTATTTATTATTTTTTTGATTAACTTAAAAATAGGATTACGTAAGTCCGAATGTAGCAAGCTAATAATTTTGATGCTAATAAAATAAAAAGCAAAAGTACAAATGACTAAACGACAGGTCTAATCACATTGGGTAATTTGGGGAACAATGAGAGTCAATACTGCGTATTCCAAGTAGGTCTTAAGGCTACAATTATCAAATAACAGCAACATAAATAATGTAAATGATGCGACTTTAAGATGAAGAACCAATATAAACCAATTATAAAAAGGGGTTCAAGGACTCCCCATTGTTTGGTTGTGACTATCTGTATGTCGATTGATCTGAATTGCCGACTTATGAGCCCCAACTATGCTTCTGTTCTTCTCTTCATGTCCAATGGTTTTAGCCCCTGTTGTCTGTAACTTGTGCTGGTTCTGGTGTAGACATAAAATTGAGTGTGGTGACTGTGGCTTTTCGATTGTTGAGACGAACGGGGAAATATATGAGTGCGGTGACTGTGGTGGAAGTGTATGATTTTTGGTTGGTTGTGGTGGCCTGTGACGGTGAAGCAGTAGTGCGTTAGATGCTTGGGTACAATAGATAATGAAGAGTTGGCGTGGTGGTGATTAGAGGCGACAATGGTAGGATAGTGGTTGTGAGAAAGGAATCGGGTGAAACTGTGGGGGTATTTGATGTTAATAGATTGGTTATAATCAGGCTTGGTCGGATATTTGGGACTACGCCGGATGAGAAGGGGTTTGGATCGTGTTATAGAGATAGGCCAGCTGGGATTAGTGTTTGGGGAGTGGGTCTATGTCGTAGAGAGTAGGCTGGGTTAATTGGACTAAATGGAATTGGGTCGTGTGTAAGTAGAATTGAATGTTAGGGTTGGAATTTGTGGAACAACACTACAATTGTATAAACAAAACAGCAGCAAACGAGAATTTTTTTTTGTTTTTTTTTTTGGGTGAAACTGAAATTGCAGAACAAAAAAACCTGAACTGAAATTTTCGAGTGTGAACAGTACACAATTTTTTTTTAACTAACCGGTTGTGAACAGTACGATGAACAGTACACTTTTTTTTTTTTTTGGGCAACCATGAAGAAAACTGAAACAAAGAAATGAGATCTGCTGCTCGTACGCTAAATTTTTTTATTCGTGCTGCTCCGACAAATTTTTGAGAAGTAGGAAGAAATTTTTGGATTGGAGATGAGAAATTACCTAAGTTTAGGCTCTGATACCAAATTTGATGCAATACCAACTCGAGTAATTAATTGAATGTGATAACGAAGTTATGGGGAAGAGGAATTGAGGGAAGATCGGGGGTAGAAGAAGAATCAATAGAAGAATCAGTAGAAGACAGATAGAAAGAAGAAAGAAAGTTGCCACAAGCCACCTAAAAATTATTCATTCATCAACTGTCCATTACATGGCAAAGAGATTTAAAAAACCAAAAAAACCTGAAGAGAGAGGCTAAGCCCATTACACAAGTCCATAAAAGTAACCCAATTAAAATAAACAAAATAACAGTCCAACTAAAATGAAATGAATAAATTGGATGTCACTAAAATAAATAAATTGGATGTCCTCATCGGGTTGCCATCAACAATAAGTAGGTAATGGATGGGATGTGGAATGGGGTATGTTTCCCACATCAAGTGCAATTTTTGATTTAGAGTCCTGGAAATGAGTTTTAGATGCACTTTTGAACTGCCTGCTGAGTATTAATTGAAGAAAAGATGGTTCCATCTTTTGAAATAAAATGCACATAAATATGGAGCAATCTCCCTCGAATTCATTCTCAATACTTACTATTTTTTTCTGAACTGCAATCTCCATTTAGCTTTCTGTCTAATTTGGATGAAAGAAGCTCTCTTCAAAATGTCTATATATCCACTTCTTTTGATAAAGGAGATGAGTGTCAATGGAGATGCAAAATCATACTTGTGGCTTGTATGGCTAAGCTCAATAGGTTTAGTTATAAATAAGTTTACCTATAAGTACTGCGTATTCCAAGTAGGTCTTAAGGCTACAATTATCAAATAACAGCAACACAAATAATGTAAATGATGCGACTTTAAGATGAAGAACCAATATAAACCAATTATAAAAAGGGGTTCAAGGACTCCCCATTGTTTGGTTGTGACTATCTGTATGTCGATTGATCTGAATTGCCGACTTATGAGCCCCAACTATGCTTCTGTTCTTCTCTTCATGTCCAATGGTTTTAGCCCCTGTTGACTGTAACTTGTGCTGGTTCTGGTGTAGACATAAAATTGAGTGTGGTGACTGTGGCTTTTCGATTGTTGAGACGAACGGGGAAATATATGAGTGCGGTGACTGTGGTGGAAGTGTATGATTTTGGGTTGGTTGTGGTGGCCTGTGACGGTGAAGCAGTAGTGCGTTAGATGCCTGGGTACAATAGATAATGAAGAGTTGGCGTGGTGGTGATTAGAGGCGACAATGGTAGGATAGTGGTTGTGAGAAAGGAATCGGGTGAAACTGTGGGGGTATTTGATGTTAATAGATTGGTTATAATCAGGCTTGGTCGGATATTTGGGACTACGCCGGATGAGAAGGGGTTTGGATCGTGTTATAGAGATAGGCCAGCTGGGATTAGTGTTTGGGGAGTGGGTCTATGTCGTAGAGAGTAGGCTGGGTTAATTGGACTAAATGGAATTGGGTTGTGTGTAAGTAGAATTGAATGTTAGGGTTGGAATTTGTGGAACAACACTACAATTGTATAAACAAAACAGCAGCAAACGAGAATTTTTTTTTGTTTTTTTTTTTGGGTGAAACTGAAATTGCAGAACAAAAAAACCTGAACTGAAATTTTCGAGTGTGAACAGTACACAATTTTTTTTTAACTAACCGGTTGTGAACAGTACGATGAACAGTACACTTTTTTTTTTTTTTGGGCAACCATGAAGAAAACTGAAACAAAGAAATGAGATCTGCTGCTCGTACGCTAAATTTTTTTATTCGTGCTGCTCCGACAAATTTTTGAGAAGTAGGAAGAAATTTTTGGATTGGAGATGAGAAATTACCTAAGTTTAGGCTCTGATACCAAATTTGATGCAATACCAACTCGAGTAATTAATTGAATGTGATAACGAAGTTATGGGGAAGAGGAATTGAGGGAAGATCGGGGGTAGAAGAAGAATCAATAGAAGAATCAGTAGAAGACAGATAGAAAGAAGAAAGAAAGTTGCCACAAGCCACCTAAAAATTATTCATTCATCAACTGTCCATTACATGGCAAAGAGATTTAAAAAACCAAAAAAACCTGAAGAGAGAGGCTAAGCCCATTACACAAGTCCATAAAAGTAACCCAATTAAAATAAACAAAATAACAGTCCAACTAAAATGAAATGAATAAATTGGATGTCACTAAAATAAATAAACTGGATGTCCTCATCGGGTTGCCATCAACAATAAGTAGGTAATGGATGGGATGTGGAATGGGGTATGTTTCCCACATCAAGTGCAATTTTTGATTTAGAGTCCTGGAAATGAGTTTTAGATGCACTTTTGAACTGCCTGCTGAGTATTAATTGAAGAAAAGATGGTTCCATCTTTTGAAATAAAATGCACATAAATATGGAGCAATCTCCCTCGAATTCATTCTCAATACTTACTATTTTTTTCTGAACTGCAATCTCCATTTAGCTTTCTGTCTAATTTGGATGAAAGAAGCTCTCTTCAAAATGTCTATATATCCACTTCTTTTGATAAAGGAGATGAGTGTCAATGGAGATGCAAAATCATACTTGTGGCTTGTATGGCTAAGCTCAATAGGTTTAGTTATAAATAAGTTTACCTATAAGTGAGTGGTTTTTAAATCGATTAAAATTGGAAACATCTTGGACTATTGAAAAGTAAGGCAAGAGTTTGTTTGAAGATAAGTAATTCACTACTTAAAAGTAACGAAAAAGGTAATTTATTCGAACAACTTGAAAACAAGCAATTTTCTACTAAAAGTAAAGAAAAGCTATCTTATTCAAATGTGTTTGAAGATAAACATGCTCTTAGGCATTAAATTTTGCGGTGATTACAACATTTACATGAAGAGTTTCTTCAGATATCTGAAGTGGCCTTCTGCTAAAATTACTATATTGCTCTTTGTGATTTGGCCATTTGTTTATCCGAGTACAGTGGATTCATTGTGATTACTTAGGCGTATGTAATTGGTGACCGAACAGTTCATTTTTACAGATAAATTGGAAGACATATCCAGAATTCCAGGTTCAAATCATTTCGGATGCAGGTGATTTACTAGAACTGCTTCTCCATGAAATGGTGTTATGCTCTAATTTTGTTATTGCTCATATTTATCGACCATTATTGTCTAGGCCTACCCCAAACGGACCTGCAATTTAAAAATCCATATGACAAAGGAATTTTGAGGAATCTGAAGGAGTTCCTGACAGCAAAAGGATAATGCTTATGTATGTTTAGTACGTGCCTTTGTTGTTTTACAATATTAAACTGCTTCCTTATCCTGGGCATTGGCGCACACATGAAATTCTTGACGAGGAGTCACGTGTTCAAGATTGAAGACATTATTAAGTGGCCAAGGTAGGGAAGGAGCCGAGTCTTCCATGCATTGGAGAAAAGGGATGCGGCCATTTCCTCAATTTGAAGAGTAGAGAATTCTCTTCTTACCAGAATTGATGATATGATTAGTGTATGACCCGACCTCTAGCCACTAATTTACGTACTATTCATTTTGAGAGAGTTTGAACCGATCTTGCTTGGGCATAGAGGTCGAGTGTTACAAAAAAAGGTGCAAAATTTTTATGTAACGGTCCAGACTTCGTGCTCAATCGTTCACTTGAGTACGCTAGTTGTCTAATTGATATCAAGATTCAATTTAACTATCTCCTAAAAAAATGTCATGGGTTCGAATTCTAGGAGCGTGGTAGAAATTTGTGAGTAAATAAGAGGGAAGCCCTCCCTTAGTGGAAAGTATGTAGTGAACGATCGAGCACAACCGTTACAATTAGTAGAGAGTGCACAATTTTATTATCTTGAACAAAAAATGTGAAAAAGAAAATTGTTGTACTTCTAGATTTCCCACTTTAACTATGGATTGTTGTGTTTCCTGAAACTCTAATGATATCATTGCACTCTATTGAATGATTTGGTATATATTGGCTTTAAAAAAAATTTCAGCCTTTTTTTTTGCTGTCCTTGAAGCTTATTGAATATTCATTTGACTAAAGTGTGGTGGGGTCATCTTATTAACCCGTGATTCTTGATTAAGGGGCAATTGTCTGTTATGGGTAAAATTTCACGTCGAATAACTATAAAACAAATAAACAACATAGAAAGTTTTGAGATATTCTTATTAATAAGGTTAATTTTTGAGGCCATATCCATATCTTGACATAACGTGCCTGAGTGAGTTGAGGGCGGACGCTCATTTTCAAGTACCGAGAGTATTTAAAGCCATCCGTTGTATGCTTCTTTGTTGGATGACCAGATTCCTACGTCTTAAAAATCTGATTAGGTCAGGTCCCATCGTACCCAAAAAGTGCCACATCGTAGAGTTGTCGTGGCATCATCGGACTGATCCTGGGCATGTGTCGACAAGGATCAATTTGTTTGAAATTGAAATAACACGCTAAATCAGAAAGCTAAGTTTGTCCCGTTTTGCAAAGGCTTATGCCCCAGCTCACTCAAGAATATTTTATCTCGTCCACAGCCTTTATATCACAAGGCATGTTTAACCACGTCCCAGCATTGAAGCTAATCAGTGACTCTGGGTCTCATGGTAGGTAAACCTTATCACACTGTCCGAACATGTATAATCAGTCATTTGTACAATGTTTATGCACAATTTGATTGACAATAAGTGTGTTGAAAAAATTTTGACCATTGATTTTAAAAACAAATTTTCAAATAAATGGATGTGATGTTTGTCAATTCATGTATTATAAATTAAGTTGTAAAATAAATTGTAGAAATAATATGATTGATCAGGATATGATAGGACAATACAAAGACATCGAACCAAAAGAGGGACAATGATGAAAAATTCCAATCTTCTCCCAAATTATTGTTTTTGATTCTTTTTCTCACTTGTTTCTTGCAAGGAACAACACTGAATAAAATAATACATATATTACTTGCATCAATCTCACGTTTGCATTACAGGTATCACCACACAGTGAAGAATATTTTACAAACTTAAAAACTGAAAATAAAAATAAATTCTTCCGATTGAAAAACCCTAAACTTCTCCACGTCGAATTATTAAAACCAATCCCCACGAACAATATACTTTCATTTGCTTATATTTTCCAAATATACAAATTCTTGGTACCAAATGGAGCTATGTATCAAGGCTCTAGCTTATCAAGAAATTCGTTTTCAGCAGCAATTCTGCCAGAGCCATGCCCCATTTTCCCGAATGAACCGACTGCAGATAAACTTTTGAAGCTGCTACTGCCCTCACTGAAGTTGCGGGACCTTCTAGACCTTCTCAGCTTTGAGGAGTTCACATCATGGTCTATTTCATTTTCAGGTTTAACCTTGGCAACAACTAACTGTACAATGTTTCTTCTGCAGAACGGGCAAACTGGCATGGAAGGACATGTCGTTGTTGGGTTGGGCTTGTTATGGCAGCACAAGGCCAGTGTGCATTGCGCGCACATCTGGTGGCCGCATTCTTGAACCTCAATCGTACATTCTTGATCGAAACATATGCAGCAAAGATCTGTATCACTTGCCTGCATCAGATTATCTCCAAATGATCCTAGTTTTTCTTACGAGGGGTTTGCAATGAAGCAAGAGATATACGTGATAAGAGATATACGTGATGTGTATCATGTTTGTTCATTAAAGCATTGTTTAAGCAAGAATCTTGAGAAAGAATAGTACCAACAAATAATAGATTCTGAAAATCGAGGTTTAACTTCAATATGAAATAAGAAAACAAAATTGATAATGAGAGGACAATCACCTCGGATACATTGTCATCAAGTCCAAAATCAGAATGCGATGGAGATGGTAGTGAATAAACTGTTCCCTTCAGGACGGCCTTTTCCCTCTCTCTGTTAGCCTCCATTAAAGCGCGTTCCAACAGAGCTTTTGCCTCCTGATTAAGCTCCCTTATGAACTTCAAAGGCGACGGCCAGACAAGAGGCTCTGCCGACGAAGGATTCAGCAAAGCCGCACATGCTCCATAGTGATGCCGTAGAGCCACTACATAAGGTATTCTCCTAAATCATGTTCATAAGGACTACAGTATTAGATGTATCAATACTAAAAGTCGTTTTTCAAAAGAAAAAACCCAATCAAAATTATGATATTTTACGTAATCGTAATTGAGAGAGACATAATGTTTGTTTTGCACTCTAGCTTCTGCTCTGACATATTATAAAAGCAACATTCAATAGTTTGACAGAAACAGAGAAAATTATTGTTCTAAAACTCATTCCTTGGTTACAAGCATGCGGAAAATGTTCAATTATAAAGTTAGAAAGATACCCAGATGCATCTCTTTGAATTCGATCAGCGCCCCATGCCAACAATTCACGGATGCAATCAAGAGAACCACCTCTTGCAGCCAAATGAAGGGCAGTGCTGCCTGGAAAGCTGTACATAATAAATTGTCAATCTAAAATCTGCTGGACTTGAGGGAAAATCTTGGAAAGACATGATAATAAGATTACCCATATCCACTGGTTGAAGCACAGACAAGAGCGCCATTGTCTAATAATAAATGAACACATTCGGGCCGTCTTTGACGGGCTGCCAAGTGCAGAGGTGTTGCTCCTTTACCATCTCTAATATTCACAAAACGAGCATATCCCCTGCAAATCCAATCAAAGTACATGAGAATCTAGAGTAATTCAAGAGGGAAAATGCCGAGCACAATAAATTGGATTATGAGCCTAATATGTTAAGTTCTAGGTATACTTAGGTTCAAGACTATACAAAGGATTTTTTAGGAGTTGAGAGGCATGATTCGCCATAATAATCCTCTTTTCTTCTTCACAGTTAAACCTGAAGGGGCGGGTGGACGTGACTCTCAAGTTGAGGGTGAACCGTTATAAATCTATGTGTATGCTCGTGTGTCTCTAATTTCGTTTTACTAAATATTGCACTCTTAATTGAGATTAAGGCATGATTCTTAACAGCATAAAGTTAATCTATCCCCGAGAAACATACCATGAAACAGCCACCTGGGAGGTGCGAGCAGTCGAAAGAATAGCTTTAAGGCAATCAGAATGACCATAATAAGCAGCATAGTGTAAGCAAGTCCTTCCATTTAGTGAATCGAAAATTAAAATCTGGCCCAATATTCAAGTTTAGCCCAGTCAATAATGAACACCAACACACATGTAAGTGCATATAAATAAATACAGATTACTTGAAAATGGCTTATTAGAGAAGATAAGGGATTGGGAAAAACAAACATTCGCCCCAGCTTCAATGAGTTTTTTCACGCATGAGATCTTTCCATGCATTGCAGCCAACATCAATGGAGTCTAAATCAAACATTCACATATAAATGATAATATCAGATAATAAGTCTCAAAAATCAACAAATAAAATCAAATATTTACAGTCATTTCGAAGAGATCATTATAAACACCTGCTTGTGGCGATTCAATAAATCGGGATTGACAGATCGGTCCAAGAGCATAGAAAGAATCTGAAATCCCCAAATCCCCAAATCAAAACCAGAAATGAGAAGACATCAAAATTTCATCAACTACGAAAAATACCAAGAAGACCACCTCGGTCTGACCATTAGCAGCAGCAATATGCAAAGCAGAGTGGCGATCGTACACTGTGAAATGATGAATAAGAGTTGGATCCCTTTCCAAAACAGTCTCAACATTCTCAAAATCCCCCAACTGCACTGCACTGAACAGTCCCTGCTCCTCACTTGTTCTGCAACTCAGCCCCTGACCCATTATCCCTTCTAAGAATTATAAATATCGCAATTGGGTTTTTGTATGGATGGATAGGTGGTGGAGCACCTCCAACGGGAGTCATGCACTGCCGTGTACAGTGGGTTCGTGGTGATGGAATGGGAGAGTGCTTTACATATTGATTCTTATATTTATGTTGGGTCTAGGAACCTTGGAGAGTGCAGTACATATTTATTCTTATATTCAAGTTGGGTTTAGGAAGCTTGAAGCTGCCCGGGAGAGGGGAGAAGAGCGGGTAACTGACCTTGTCAGAAGGAAGGTGGGACAACGGGCAGCGGTAAGATATTTTCGGGCAGTTAGATTCCCAAATACAGTACAGATTCACACACTTCGTAGTTGATTGCTATACGTCCAGGGCGCCATTTGGTGCCTTGGAACGAGTCAATAACACGTGATTAGCACGTGCACTTTCTTGAACAAATTTACAGAAGACCACTTCAAATATTTTATCCACGTTTGGTACTCATTTTTTTCAAAATGTATTTTTCTCTCTCTTCTTTTCAATCACACATTTTTTATTAAAATAATATTACATGTAAATAAAAAAAATTTCCTTATTTTTCAACCACACATTTTCCATCAATTTACTATTCTAAAATGCATTTTTACAAGAAAATGAATATCAAACAATTTATAAAGAGAAAATGTCAATCGACAATGAACTTCTTGCTTCTTGAGTTCTTTTACTAGATCTAAAATTCCATTCAGGATTTTTGAATTGTTCCAAGATTTTCAGTAGAACTTTCCAATTCGTGACAATTAGGAACTCAAGATGTAGCAACATCTATGATGCAAAAAATAATAGACTTGTATCATAATACCTTTTTGAGTTAGTTAAGAATTGATAGTCATTATCTAGATATACAAGTCACGGTCGATCGAGAAGAGGGAAGTCTGCTTTTGATAAGATGATTTAACGGTAATTGGATTTGGGACACAATCTACCTCTAAGGACTACATTTTTTGCAATTACACGAAAGTTGAGAGTGAGAACGAGAATGCAAAATGAATAAGATGGGGGCCTCTTCTTACAATTTTTTCTTGACGCGTGTGGCGGTCAACATGTGATGGGCACTTATTGGTGTTTGCTCTTCGTCCAAATTCCAAGTCTTCACTCATCTTAGAATGTTGAACATAGGTTTTGATTAATTAGTATTAAATAGGGTAGATCTAATTGTAGTTTAAGACAACTTGGGATGACCCAATATCTCAAGTCAAAGTAAAATGAATGAGACAAAAGATTGAAATTTCATGCTCTAATTTCACCAATCTTGCATCTGTTCTTGATTTAAAAAAAAAAAAAAGGGTTATACTTTCTGGTAAAGGAAATTTCATGCTCTAATTTCACCAATCTTGCATCTGTTCTTGATTTAAAAAAAAAAAAAAAGGGTTATACTCCCTGGTAAAGGAGCACGGTCCCAAAAATAATAAAATTTTTTAACATGCCAATTTGACAGCAACCCAATAATTTAATATTAATGATATTAATTTTAGGTGATTAATTGTTAAGAAAATTGAACTAGCACAACCATGTTATAGGATTATTGACATCAATTACTAGTGTTAATATGACAACAATCTAATAATTTAAATTTTAACAACATGAATTCTACGTGATTAACTTGTAAAATTGAACTAAGATTGGGTGTCCCTGTACATTTAACATTTCCTTATGATGCTATCAAAAAACGTTTACCTAATAGACCTCGAACTAATGTTTGAACTCCAAGCTTGAACAGTGTAGATAAGCACGAACAGTTATTCGATACCTGAAACAAAGGCAACGAGGTGTGTTCTCGTTGCCCCTCTGATGCTTAAGTCAGACAAGAGAATTGATGAGAGAAGCTATGAATTGGCAGTAATAGAAAAAAACGTACCTCGATGAGGTGCCTTGGCCATGTATTTATAGGTGTTAGTAATAGAATTGTGGAAGGATTCAACTACTTAAGAGTCATTTCTTCCTCCCATGTTAGGGTGTTTGAGTTTTATTGAAAGTATTCTACTTGAGTTTGAATCAAGGAAGGAGTCGGTTAGGATAAGGATCTCAAAGAATAGTAGTTGAGATAGGATACACTTACTGGAAATTACATTAAGGGTCACGCGTCATGCTTTTGGAGGGTAAACTCGACCTGAATACCAACATCGACCTCAACATGCCTCGACCTCAAAACAGTGGTTTATGGGTAGATCAGATCGGGGTGTCAAGGTTGGGTTGAGCAATTGTGAGTCAACACAGGCCCTCGTGCATCGAAGTCACAGCTTGTGTGCGAAATTTGGCTGCAAATCGAAATGCAGAGAGGATATAGTGGCTCGAAATCGACCTTGACACCTGTCATTGAACTCTTGGTGGTTCGCTTTGCCACGTGTGGGTCATGTGCCTGGTTGTCAGAGCCGAACTTAGATGGTCACCACGTGTTACACTTTAAGGGCCCAGATTAAATGATCGTTGATATGCCCAAGACCTCTATAAATACCCTTCCGCTATTTATTCACTTTTCACTTTTCGCTTTCAGTAAAAGAAGCTCGAGTTTGGAATGGGGGGTTGTGAGCGATCGTCATTGAGGTAAGAGTTCAAGCTTTTTAGTTGTTAATTATTCAAGTAGAGTAGTGTCGAGTAGCAATAGCAGTAGCAGTAGCAGTAGCAAGAGGTCTAGTAATAGTGGTAGTAGTCGACCTTTTAGGAGCTCGGGGGAGAATGAGAACCCTGTTGACCAAGGTATGATTATTGAAAACTCGGGTAACCAAGGTCGGGACCTTGTCACTGTGGTCGTTCCTGTTAGCTCGCACTCCTAGGGTGAGGGGTACTGACCTATCTAAAGGGCCCAACCACATATAAGGAGCATGTAATTATTAAGATAGCCAGAGAGTTCGGGGTTATGCTGGTCTTCGATGTTAGGGCCCCCGAGAGTACTGAGGATGTCTTAGGAGCTCGAGAGGGGGAGATAACCTTTTTTAGGGATGCCCTTAAAACTGGGATGAGGTAGCCTCTCCACCCATTCTTTATCCATTTCTTAACCTCGTACTACATGTGTCCGGGCCAGCTGGCCCCTAATGGTTGGAGGCTCCTAATATATTTCTTCATACCGAAGACCCCGAGCTCTCTTCGTGGTTGGAAAGAAAGATTTTTTTTTTTGTTTCTGTGAAACCTTAGGACCTCGATCACCCTTTTAGCTCGAGGTGGGAGATTCCTGATAAAGATAAGTTTAATGATGGTCATACATACTTTGAGGTTCTAGAGAGGGACAGGATCAGGTTAGTTAACCACGACCCTCTGGCAGAGAAGATTGATTATTTGCTCGAGGATGACACCCTCGACTTGGCAAATGTTAGAGGCCTCGAGGGTATGACTTTTATTTTCTCACGTTGTAATGTTGTGTTCTCGATATGAGCTAGAGCTAATGCCTTGTGATTTATTTTTGCAGATTTCGAAATGTCTTTTAATCCATCAAATCTGCTCGCGAAACGTTCATCACAAGGCCAAGGGCCCAAAGCCTAAGGCCCCGCCCATCCAAGGGGAAGAAAAGGGTTAGGGAGGTCGCTACCAGGGAGCCCCCGATACTCGAGTCACCGACCTTACCTAAAGGTTAGACCTTGACGTCGAAGACCCTGACCTCACCACCTCAGCCAACTCCCAAAGCACAAGATCGAGCTCGGGGATGTCAAGGCATCGTAGATTCTTACTTCTCACCCATTTCTGATAGTGCTCTCGAGAAGTATTTTGAGTGCGCCCTAGTGAAGGATATTGTTGACCGGTTCGACAATGAGGTCAATATTTATGAGGGGGTCAAGATATTGGAGGTCTTGACTTTGAGGGTAAGATATCGACCTTAATTATGTTTTAGTTTCATGCTTCTTTGATCGAACTAACGTCGAGTTCACTTATTCTATTTGTGCAGAGGTTGAGCGTGGTAAGAGGTCTTACCTTGAATGGCCTCAACATTGCGAGCGAAGGGAGGAAGCTCGAGAAGGAAAAACATCGAGTTGATAGGCAGGGCTAGTGATCTCGAAAAGGTTCTTCAAGCTACAAAGGCTGACCTCAAAAAGGCCCAAAAGGAGGTCGAGATCTACAAAGATGAACCTGAAGATGCGAAGCTCGAGCTTATTAAGTCCAAGAAGAGTTTTGAGGAGAAGTTGGCGAAAGCTCGTGATGAAGCTCGAGCTCAGGCCATTGAAGATTTCAAGAAGTCTGAAGAGTTCGAGACCTTGTTGGGTCAATATGGGTCGGGCTCTTATCACTATGGACTTCATCTTGTCCGCTCTTACCTTAGAACAAAGGTCCCTGACGACTTAAGGCCACTGGTCGAGGATCTGAAGACAGTAAGCAAGCTTGCAAGGGAGCTTGAACTTTCTGCCTCAGAGGTCGAGGAAGATGGTAGCGATGATGATGACGATGGTGATGGGTACGATGTCGGGACTGGTGATCAAGGCGATGATGTCAAGGTTGTTGACATAGATTAGGCTTTCCAACTGGGTCAACTGCTTTTATTATGGAATGCAATCTGATTTGTGTTCGTGCATGTTTAATTCTTTCACATTTCTTATGTTCGAGTTTAATAAATCTTGAGCTTCGAGCTCGTGAGTTGTCATGACATGCGTAATGTGGCATAATTTGAAGCTCGAGTATCGATCTATGTTTAATGTTTTCAAGCTTGACCCTATTAGCAATATTCCAAGGTCGAACAACAGATATGCTTGAGTTTGATCTTCGGGAGAACTTGTTGAGATCCAGTTTACGACATCTGCTTGTTGCTAAATGGCTCGGGCATGCGAGCTCAATCCCTTAGGGGGCGACAATTGACATCGAATGGTCGAGCCATTGTAGATTTGGGTTACGTCGAGCTATTTACTTGTGAGTAAATTTGGGTGTTTGAGCTCGAGAAACTTTTTATTACTTTATTACTCGTAAGGTGTCGAGCTCAAGAATGTGCTGCATTTTGTGCTTTAAGTCGTATGCAAGCTCGATTATCAAATGACGGTTTGCTATTTTGACCTCAAATTATGGTCATGTTCATGTAATAGGTCGAGCGTTTGTTTAGTTTTGGCTTTGAAGCATTGCTTCTTATCGTTTGAACATTACACCAAGGTAGGTCTAGCTGTTCGCTTGCCGGTCAAGTTCGAGCCTCTGTCTTTAGAGTTTCGAAACTGGTTTCAACTCGTAAAGAGTTTGGGCCAG